ATGAACGCTTTCCCTCGCCGTTGTCAGCGCGCAACTGTCGCCTTTGAGGATGAAAACTCAGATCTCAGACCACCTACAGCAGCAGCGACAACCAAATATCGACAAAAGTTTAGTTAGCAAACACCAGTTCAACGGAGAAAAAACCACAAGTGAACAATTTATAAAGCAAATCAGAAATAGAAGTTTTTTATAATTTTGATTTTATTCAAATTTTGCTTCTTCATTTAAATCACGTCTTTACACATTTTTTTTGTTCTTTATTCTTTATTTGTTCTCTATTTTACACACAGGAATTGCAAGAATTTTACGGCAGAAAAATGGCGATTATTGTATGAGCCTGGTATCGTCTGCTAGAAACGTTTCCGGTAGATTTCCCGCCAACTGAATTCTTAAAAAAATAACATTTCTCCAGATAAATATTCATGGATCGCTTCCATAGAAACGAAGGAAGTTTCTCATTAAAATGTACTTTGCGCATGAGCAAATTTACCACCCCCACCACCTCTTACATGTTTCTATTTTCAAATGTTCACTTCATTAGCATTTTTCTTTCATACATTGATTTCGTTTCTCGCTCATTCTTCTGGTCATTCACACATTTATTCGAAAGAGAGTTACTTGCAGAATAGATTTTAATTCATTTTTGTTAAAAAAAAAGGAAATAAAAGAAAAACGTTTATAAAGACATTCAAAATAAAATGCAAGTTATCGTCCGACAGAGGAAATGTCTTTTTCAATTTCTTTGACTGGCTCCGTCGCCCGCAATTTTTTTTTTTCTAAAGAATTCCTTGTTTGTTGACCTCGAAAAGCAAAAAGGAGTTTTGCATACACAGAGTGGAATGGAGAGATCAGAGGGGGAAAGAGACGTCGATAAACTTATTCGAAAAATATTTCAGCAATAATTAAAATCTTATTCAGTTAACAGTCTATTTGACACGGTGAAGTACGCATGCGTGCACATTTTGCATAAACTAAAGTATCTTTTTAGCGCACCTGCTTCCTTCTGCAAATATGCGTATCAATCTATCGATACCTGTTTGTTCAACTGTCTTTCTGTCTGTCTGTCCTCTCTCTATCTATCTCAGTCTCTCTCTCTCTCGATATATATATATATATATATATATATATATATATATATATATATATATATATATATATATATCCCTGTTTGTTCATAACTATCTATCAAAGTCTATTCTATTCTATCTCAGTTTATTCATATCTATCTATCTATCTATCTATCTATCTATCTATCTATCTATCTATCGTGCCAATCTCATACAAATATTTAGAAAACACTCGATCGCATCACTCGATGGTGTAATGAGTTCGATCTTTCAGCTAATACAGATGAATCGAACGTAATCGATGTCAGATCTTATTGATGTCCCATACAATATTTGTTAGTTTGTTGTAACTGAGCTCCATTTGGAACCCAACTGATTATTACACTACATAACATTTAATTTCCACCGTTTCTATCGAATTGGCTAGTAGGTTATGAAGGGTATTCAGTTCACAACTTATAGTTGGTCTGTATGACGTGAGATTCACACGAACTGTCCCAAATCATTTTTTGTAAAATCCCATTAAAATTTACACATCTTAGCCGAATACATAGGAAGTTGTAGGTCAAAAAATGACCGTGGTGTACCAGTTACTTAAATTAAGGAAACCCTACCTGCTTTGCCAATATGTAAACATTATTTTTTTTGTTCGATCAGTAGGAGATATTATGTCAGTAATGGTAATGGTACTGATTATATTAACCGTTTCCTTATAAGGAAACATCCGGCATTTATTGACTCAGCAGCTTTTACTTGCATCGTTTGAAATTCATAAGATTTTCATTCAAATTTTTCATCATGAGCTTTGTTTTGGTTCTGTTTTTTTTTTTAAATCCTGTTTCTTGAAACTTTTGGTGTGGGATGTTGATGTCTTGGTCCAATATCATCCTTATCCCAACCACGAATACCTATGTCATCAGCATGGATCCTATCATCGGCAATACAATATGTAGAGAAAGCAGGATCACTGCTTTCCATTAGTAGATAAGGTTTGGTATGGTATGCTTAAATGACTAGTCTCATCACACATTGCTCGTGTTTTATGCAAAGAATAGTCGTGAAAGAGATTAAATCGGTCGGATCTGTCATTTCGCCCTTGTCTTGTAACTGATGAGGTTTGAAATCTGTCTATATTTTTTAGATGAATTATTATGTACACTATTTACATTACTCGATAATTCAGTATCTGTCTATATTTCTGAGATGAGGTATTATGTACACTATTTACATTATACGGACTATTGTCGTCATCTTTGTCGCCATATTTATCTGATCCTTCAGTATCTGTCTATATTTCCGAGATGAGGTATTATGTCCACTATTTACATTATTCGGACTATTTTCCTCATATTTGTTGCCATATTTATCACAATGTTTCGGTCGATGCATTCTGCAGCCTTTTTCAGGTGGTTGGAATGAAGAAAATGAACACTTTTTTTTAGCATCACCGGGTTTCTAAAATAAAGTTAATGCCATGTCTAATGGAGGTCAGTTATCAGTTCTCCAAGTTCTCCACCGCCTTTATCCACTGTGTCCTGTGTCCTCAAGGATAAAGGCGTTAGTTGATACTTAGATCCAGTGACAGGACCCAAAGAGTGTGAGTTCAATACCTGGTTAAGGCGGTGGAGAACTTGGAGAGGATAATTAACAGAAGATAATTGATAACTGACGTCCATTAGACATGGCACGTAGAACTAGAACAGTCTACCCCGGCGAGCGAAATAAAGGGTTCAGTTCGACATTCTAACCACCAGAAGAAGGTCGTAGTTGTTAGCCTCCCCCCAGCTATGGGTAAATAGTTAACCCCGAAACTGGAGTCAAAAATGAAAGTCTAAAAACAGGTTTTAATACCAGAAATACTTTGTAAAAAATTATATACAGCAATAAATATTTGAAGAAAAAAAAAAAAAAAACTATTACCAGCTATACATTTTTGAGGAAAAAAATATTACCAGAAATAGATTTTTGAAAAAAAAATTATTACAGCAACACATTTTTGAAATAAAAAATTACCATAAATAGATTTTTGACAAAAGAAAATATTACCAGCAAGAAAATTTTGTTGGCATCAAATAACCCACTAGGGTTGATGTGTCGTAAACCAAACCAAACCAAACCAAACTAAACTAAACTAAACCAAACCTGTGATGAAACCTTCCAACGTTAGCTGAGATATAGAAGGTCTGATATTACATAAATGATCAACAATCTTTTGAAATTGAGTGCTTGTTAATATTTTGTTTAGTTCTTGAAAGCTTCTTTTACTGTTTAAATGCGCCTCCGTATTTCAGTGTCACGTGTCATAACACTTCCTAGATAGTTAAATATCTGTAGTTGCTTTATTTTTGCGTCACTAATTGGTACTTTGCATATTGGGCTGTTCTATTTGCTTACGACCATAAAATTTGACTTTTTTTTCCAAGTGATGCTTAATGAAAAAATGAATAAATACTTAACTGTTTTGCAATGTGGTATTTCTCATTTTTCGTCGAGAATCAACTCAAAACACTTGGTCCAATACCAGAGAGATCAGAAGGACGTCTCTGACGTTCGCAATACAGTTCAAAGTAAAACAAGAAAGTTAACAAATGCCAATATTTTTTTAAAAATAATGCAACTATATTTACGTAATATTCTTTGTGATATGAAGCTTCTTCGAGATAATATCTATAATTCTCAAAGTGTGTATATATGTATGTCTCTGTGTGTGTGATCGGGTGTTGTTTATGTATTTCCACAGTTTTCATCCGATTGCAATGAAATTTTTTTTTGTTTAATAGATAATTCTTCAGTGGCGGTTTTGAGTCCAAATTGTTGGCGACAATGGCTCTCCGCTACTTCCTGTTCATTAAAACTCGTAGTAACGTTTTACTATTTACTGTTTTTGGATATATATCTTTCATAAAAATAAATAGTTTAAATTATTATAATAATATTCTTTTTTTATTATACAGTTCCTTTTCAAGGACAACCCCCCAGTAAATCTAAACTGCTCCAATTGAATAGTAATGAAAGACCCGATTAAAGTCGGGTTATACTATATATATATATATATATATATATATATATATATATATATATATATATATATATATATATATATATATATATGTGTGTGTGTGTGTGTGTGTATATATATATATTATTGTGTGTGTATTTAGGCAGCATTTTTTCATTCATACATGTTTCATTAAATAATATAGATAAGTGTTGTCTATTTTATGTAAATTCTTTCATAATGTCTGATAAGCTTAATAACATTATCATTAAACGAAGAAAGAAAATCACAATATTGATCTATATTTTTTAATCCAATAAAACAACATCCCTAGCCGCGTACACAATTCCGTAAAATTCTTGTTGAAAACACAACTATACTTAAACAACTTAAACATGAAAACAATAAACAAAAACTAAAAATTCTTGAAGCTATATACATAAAACAGTTGAAACCTAACCTGAACAAAATAAACTATGAAATCTCCACAAATATTCTTAAATGTCTATAATTGGTAACAAAAGCCATTGGTTTATACCAAAGGCTTCCTATACTTAATACTTCTCGAATTCACTCTCGCGTGGTCATGTGTGACGTCATGATCTGCGGTGCGATTTTCGTTTCCAGCGTCTTATATGCACGTGTTTATCGTTGCTTGGAAATCATCCATGTAAACAGAAACAGACTTGTCCGTGTATTGCTTAATATATTGTACTGTAATTGTCATTTTTGATAATGGCTTATGAAATTTAGTTTTTTGCCTTGAGAACATCCACATTGGACGAAACGCGTTGGCAACTATTACAGTTTTCCTATTGTTATTTATATTTATAAATATTGTCTTTTATACAGGTTAACTTCGAGAAACTTTCATATATATATATATATATATATATATATGTTTTATATTATAAAACAAGATTCTGAAACTGAAAAATTGTTGTAAATTCTAAAACGAATGAATGTATCAAAACTCCTGTACCATAATTCATACTGTTTAATAAGCATTTTCTTCCAAAAATTATGATAGCTGAAATATAGGCATGCTTATGATATATGATAACTAGATATTAACCTTTGTACCAAGGTCCGTGCGTCGCTATATTCAGGACAGCATGATCAAAGACAAATCATAATCTATTCTCAACTAACCGATGTGCAACAAAGATTTGAAATCACTGACCAAATTCTGCATTAAAAAAAAGAAAACTACCGTATTCTCCGGCTTACAAGACGCCCTTTTTTTTTCCTAAAAAATGCCATGAAAAATACGTGTGCGTCTTCCAAGACGAATGTAAGTCAACACCAAGGCTCAAGTAAGCTTGAACGGTCACCTAATTGGCCTGACTGTTAGGGACGTGGATTTGTATATTGGGTCATTACACTATAATGTTAGCTATCTATCTAATTCAGCCTTTCATGTGATGTTACCTCAGTACTTAGCTGTTACATGTATTTCCAAGACTTCCTGGAACTGAGCCACAAGCTGAATCATGTTCTGTTTACCAGCAACGGTGGGAACCTTTCTGCTCTTGATTAGTATGTCATTGTCATACAAACAAAATCGATTAATGATTAAAAGTGATTAATGTAAATAATACGTGGCACCAGTATGTGAGGGACACATGGGGATTTGGTGTTGCATAAGAATGATTTTTTCTTAGAAATTTCATTCCAATATTAGGGTGCGTCTTCCATGCCGCAGCGTCTTAAAGCCGGAAAATGCAGAATTCAGAAAAATATTATTCACATTTTAAAGTTTTTCACCGCTTTTAGTGTCAAAGTTAGACATCTTGACAGTTTCATCCCGCTTGTCAGCGTAGTAAATATCTTTGTCAACTTTCAATATCGTTGACGATCACTGTCACCATTTTCCGACTCAATGACTATGTTTTAATCCATGATATAAACTATATAATTTCGTATAAATTCTTATGAATTCCATTTAAATTTTTATGAATGTTAATATATAAATTTAATGTAAACTATGTGAAGTATTCATAAATTCGTATAAAGTTTTTATAAATTCTTATAAATTCTTATAAATTCTATATAAATTTGTAATAATAATAAGACGTAACTTTTTATAAATGTATAAATTCTATATAAATTTCTAATACTATATAAATTCACATAAATTTTGTATTAGGGTCTTATGAATTTTATACAGACCTGTAATAATAATAATAATAATAATAATAATAATAATATACAAATTTCTATTAATTCTCTATAGTTTTTTGAATTTTATATAAATTTTAATAATTATAATATATAATTTTTTATGAATTCTATATAAATTTGTAATAATATATATTATTCTATCTAAATAATATATATTATTCTATATATAAAATATATATTTCTTTTAAAACATTCTATATAAAATTCTAATAGTCATATATAAATTCTTATAAATTTTGTATAAAGTCTTATAAATTCTATATAAATTTGTAATATATGTGAATTCGGTATAAATTTTGTATATATTCTATATAAATTTGTAATAATATATTAATAGTAATATTTAATTTGTAATAATATATTAATTTGTATAAGTTTTTATGAATTCTATTCAAATTTGTAATAATAATAATAATAATATATAAATTCTGTGTAAATTTATATAAATTTGTAATAATAATATATAAATTATTATAAATTTGTATAAATTCTACATAATTTTTTAATAATAATAATATATAAATTCTACACAAAGTCTTATGAATTCTATATAAATTTGTAATAACAATAATATATAAAATTTGTGTAAAGTCTACATAAATTTGTAATAATAATATATTAATTCTGTATAAAATCTTATCAATTTCATATAAATTTGCAATAATAATATATAAATTCTGTACAAATTTTTAATAATAATATATACATTATTATAAAGTCTCTATAAATTGTATATACATTTGTAATAATAATATATCAATTGTTTGTAAATTCTTTCAAATACTTTTTAAATTCTATATAAATAAATTGTGTGGAGATATGTTCCTACCTTTTCCAAGGCTATTTGTGCGTAAATGAATATGACAAACCCAACGAAAATTGAAACACGGCTGTCCGAGTAAAAATACCGAGCCATTATCTATTACACTGATCGAACATCGAAGCTTACAGCACCTGATATTCTCATGCGGTCATCCTTCTACGCACTGACCATGATCGACATTGCTTAACTTCAGTGATCGTACGGGAATCGGTGTTTCAACGCGATGTGGCCGTAAACGCAGAGTATATAACTAAAGACCATATTTAAATAAAATTAAATATAAAAGTTTCAAATTTTTAGCAGCCTCTCCCTTTCGTGCGCATGTGTAGTTATATCAACGTAGGCGTCACTTTAACCCGATGGCATTCTAAACGACAAAACGTGTCGCCCGAAAAATGTTTTTCATTTTTCTCACTAATTTTCTTAACAGAATATATTTAAAAGAACAAATGCTGATAAAATATAAATAAAAAAATAAATGAATAGCCTTTTTGGGGTCTTCGGCCAAAAATATACGAAAAACAAAATGGCTTAGACCAGTGATTCTCAACCATGCCCCACTTTGTTATTTCTAAAATTCTGGTGCCCCCGCCTGTAATATTTAATTCTTACATATTCTAAATTTTACTGCAATTCACATGAAGGAAGCTTAAAAGGCCATTAACTTAGTCTCTAAACAAGCCTACAAAAACCATGGCGTCCATGAAAGAGAAAAATTAAAAACAAATAAACAGTTAAATATATATACTTTAAAAAACATATTTTTGGGGCCTTGCCCCACTTCGGTATTTCTAAAATTCTAGTGCCCCCGCCTGTAATATTTAATTTTTACATATTAGAAATTTTACTGCAATTCATGTGAAGGAAGCTTAAAAGGCCATTAACTTGGTCTTTAAACAAGCCTACAAAGACCATGGCGTCCATGAAAGAGAAAAATTTAAAAAAAAAACAAAAAAAAAAACAGTTGAATATATAGTTTCAAAATATATCATAGAGAACTGAAAGACAGAAATATAAAATATTTGAATGAAAGCTTATTCCGTAATATTCTTTGATCATTTTAATCATGAAATAACAATTCAAAATGAAATTTGAGCTCTCTAGAAAACAATTCACAGTTAATAACTCATTCTCCAATTGCCCCCTTATTCTGTTGGTATAGTAATATGAAGGGTGCACACCCTACGCATACCTCACCAAAATATTACCATAACACACTGGTGGGCCGTTCGCCCCACGTTGGGAATGATTGGCTTAGACCAAGGCGACGTAAAAGTAACTCTAGTGAGATCCTGCTTCCTCTCCCGATACCAATATACTGATGACGATGAGGTGTGTGCTGATGGCACAGGTATTAATAGTTGGCAAGGATCTTAAACAGAAAATCAGTATCTTCTGTCAAGTGCTCCAAGAAATGGGAGTTAAAATAAACCCTTTCAAAACAGAGACTATGATTTAGAATTGGAACGAAAACAATGATGCCACCTATCCTGATTCAAACATAAAAATACAGGATATGGAATTAGTAAATACAAAACACTTTGATGTATGGATCAGTTATAACAAATTTAGTCCAGGAGATAAAGGAACATGAACCTCGACTAGGCTCAACATTGCAAATTGCTAAGAAACCAAAACATCAACCTCAATACTCGAGTCATGTTCTTAATTAGACTCATCTGATCGAGACTTTCATATAGGTGCCATACATGACGCTAAATCCTTTCAGAAATATCTAAACTGTCAGTATATATCAATGTTTCTGAGATGAGGTATTATGTACACTATTTACATTGCACGCACTATCATCCTCATCTTTGTTGCCATATTTATCACAACGTTTCGGCCGTTGTACGTTCCGGCCGTTGTACGTTCCGGCCTTCTTCAGGTGGTTGGAATGTCGAACTGAACCCTTTATTTCGCTCACTGGGGTAGACTGTTCTAGTTACACGTGCCATGTCTAATGGATGTCAGTTATCAGTTATCTCCTGTTAATTCCAAGTTCTCCACTGCCTTTACTAGGTATTGAACCCACACTCTTTGGGTCATTGAGGAGACATGACACAGTGGATAAGGCGTTAGTTATGTCCAGTGACAGGACCCCCATTGTTAAAAAAAAGTGACACCACTACTTGAAAATATCAAGAAAAATATATATATTTATATATATTAAATATAAACCTTCTTTGAAATATTTTACATGCAGGCACTTCAAACTTTGTACTTTGAGTTAACATTAATAGGAACTGAAAAACATTATCTTTGTAAGAAAATCAGGTACTGAAAATTGTAAATAAAAATAGGAAAGTTTTCTCTGGGTACTATATACCCATGGTTAGTGTTCTAGGATTAAGATGGAATAATCTGTTATGTGTTTAGATACATTGTATTTATTTCCAATTTTTCTAGTTGAATTATTCCCCTAATTTTCATACGATCCATTATTGTACATAATTAGGTTACAATAACATTTGCATTTTATATGAATACTACCTTATGAAAATTGAGATGCAGTAGAGTAAGGAGTTACGTATCATCGATTCGGGAGGCACTGTGTCATTGATTCACTTCTTGAGACACCAACACTGGCTCTGCCATTATCATTACTCCTTCAGCAACTGGATTAGAGAGTCTGACTTTTTTTTTTTTTTAGTCTCGCTCTCCCAATTTTTATTTATGTATCCGTTCACAATGAGAATCTATTCACCCATTTTCCTTCATATAAACACGTCTATATTCCGCCTTCTCGTTCTCCCTATCTCCGCAACTTTTTCTAATATTCCTGTCATTTTTCATACCGAAGTCAGCCATTTTGCTCTCGACTCAACCGCCACATCGTCCAGGCCAATGTTCATTCCATTCTCGACCTTTTTCCCTGCCTCTGCCGACGCCATTTTGTCTTTCATATCTCTTTTTGTTTTTGTTTTGTTTTTTGTTTTTTTTTTCACACGCACGCAAAGACATTTCGCAGCTGTCCCTTGCCGCTATGTGCAGACGCCGGCATATGTAAGACAAGATCGCCCGTTACTGACATTTTTTCGCTTCGCTTTTCTAATGTGCCTGTCTCTTTTGTTCTCTCAATCTCTTTCTTCTTATTCGTCTCTATATTTCACACTTTAACACACTCTTTTTATTCCTTGTACTTTCTTTCACCTTCATTTGTTTTTATTAATTTCGCCTATTTGCTTTTCTTTCCTGCATATATATTTTCGATATTGCATTTTCATTATTCCTATTTTTTTCTTTTGTTATGTTCCTTTATTTCTTCTTTCTTACCTTTTATATCCTTCTTTCTCTCTCTCTCTCTCTCTCTCTCTCTCTCTCTCTCTCTCCTTATTTTGCTTTTTCCTTTTTTTTGTCCGTAATTTCTCTCTTTTTCTTTCCTGCTTTTCCCTTCTATTTTTTTTTTTTTTTTTTTTTTTTTTTTCTTTCACGTTTTTGTCTTTCTTTCTGACTTTCTTTTCTTTCTAAATTCGTTTTTTCTTCATGTTCTTTCCTTTATATGTTTCGTTTTAACTTTTTTTTTCATTCCTGGGTGTACAGGGTGGTCCGAAAGTCTTGTTACCCGTACATAATACATTCTATTTCAGGTGGCTGACACAAGCTCTTACACTTTGGAAGTGGTAGAGGTGACAAGAATTTCAGACCACCTTGTACCTTTTTTCTTTTCTTTTTTTTTTTTTTACGATATTGCCTTTTTTTTCATTCTTTTCCTTTCTTTCCGTCGTTTTTCTTTCTTTTTTCTTTCCTTCTTTTGCGTTTCTTTCCCTGCTTTTTTCTTTCTTTCCTTTTTTCCTCTTTCTTTTCTTTTTTTTTTCCCATTTTGCATAAATCTATCGTTTTTAGCTTCTTCTTTTTATCGTTTTTCGTATTAAATGTTTATTTTCCATCTCTGCTTTATCTGAAATCTTTTTTCTTTCTACTTATTCATCGAAGAGTCTTCCTCACTTCTTACTTTTTCGTTTATTTTTCATGGTTTTTCCTTTTTCGTTTAGTACGTGTTTTATATCACTTTTTCCTTGTTCTTTTACACTACGTCTCTCTGCAATCTCTGTTTTTCATTTGTTTTTTCATATTCTTTCTTTCACCATCTTTCACATACGTCGCTTGTACTTCCCTTATCAATATTTCTTTCTTCTTCCTTTTTCTATATTTTAATCCTACATCTAATATTCTTTTATTTATCTATCTGGAATAACATCCACCCACTTTTCTCAGTTTATCTCGCCGTGTCCTGATTGTTTTATTTGCACTAGTCAGCCTCGTTTTCGTTCATTCGGATTCCTCATAAAATATGGCGCTTCTCTCTTTTCTTATGTACAAACTTTCTGGTATATATATTTTTAATTTTTTATAATTTTTCCCTCCATAAAGTGCAATTCAATCACTGTCTTTCTTTCACTGTTTTTATAACCTTCTTGTCATTCGTTTATCGATCTTTCCTGTTTCTATTACAGAGGTGTGGACTGATTTTACGGTGACGGACAAAGCAAATGGAATCCATGAACTGAGTGGTGAAGTCTTTTTATGTTAATGTTGATTGGTAAAGGCATGAATTCATTTCTTGCATTCTCGGAACGATGTCTCGTCATTAACAAAGAAGATTAGAAAAGGAAACAATTAGAAAAATAATTTACAGTTTTTTTTCTATTATTCTCGGCCAGTGTTTCACAACCATTTTAAGCAACGGGACACCTACGAGCAAATGAAAATATTATTTTAGGTTTTTGAAAAAATATTCCAAGCAAATACATTTAAAAAAAAAATATCTTTCTAATACATTATTACCAGAAGTATACAGTGCTGTTTGATAAAAGTGACTCACCTTATCCTTTGAATCTAGCTCAACTTTCGTTTCATCGGAGAAGAGAACATTCTTCCAGTCTTCTACGGTGAAATTTTCATAATAGGGAGCCCATTCAAGTCTCTTGGCTTTGTTGACTTTGCTTATTAGCGGCTTAAACCTTCATGTACAAGATTTGTAGTTTTTTTCTAACAAGATTTGTAACCTTGTTCTGACGGACTGTTGAAGAGATAAGACTAACACCTTGCTCTTCGCTTAGACTGGCTGCAATTTCTTGGCTAGTTATAGTGCTATTTTTCGCAACTTCTCTCTTGATTACCCTGCCAGTTCTATCATCAATCTTTTTCTTTCGTCCCATTGTTTCCTTCCTTGGAGCAGGAGTGGTATCATTATGTGCCCTAAGCACTCGCGAGACAGTTGATTGTGAGGTTATAGCAATTTCTGTAATTTCTCTCGTAGACTTGCCTGATTTTGAGAGGGCAATAATAGATGCCTTAAGTCGTTCTTATGCGTGTTTGTACCCTTTCATCTGGTTAGTGACTTGGATGGTTTTATACTGTACGAGGCTTTCTGGAATATTCGGGAATACTCTAGATTTAATTTAAGCTGTTCTAGAATTCTCTAGAATATTGTTCTCAGTGTATTGTAAAATAGTTTTCAATATTTTGTTAAAAGTTCTTTAAATTTACCAGTTTAATCATCAGAATGCGATATCTGAGTCACTTTTTTTCCTGAATCTCATTTATATCCAAATTTATAATTATCAAGAGAATATCTTAGGGTGAATAAACTTTTTTCCTTGGTGGTCGGGAAGGGGTCTTTATATTAGTAAGATTAAAAAATATTTTACCCCCCCTCCAAAAAAAAAGAGAAAAAATATTTTTAGTAAAAAAATCAGGTGAGTCACTTTTATCGAACAGCACTGTATATATAGCAACATTTGTAAAGGGTATTCATTTAAATGTTATGAAATAAAGCCATATATTTGAAAAATACTCACAAATATGAACTTACTTTATATAAATGTTTCTGTTCAACTGTTTGTGCAGCTTGTTTAGTCTGTAATCTTTGTCTGGTGTTGTTTTTTTTTTTTCGCGATTGTTTGGCTGACTGTACGATCATCATCATCTTGCGGCCTCAGCCGAGATTGAACTTACCAATACTTTGATTGGTGTAGTTCATAATCTTGTCAAATAGCTGAATACTTGATGCTTCGCTAGGGCTATCAAGGGTGTTTTTATCGTGACACCATCACTAAATGGATTGCCAACCAAGGCTCAGAGAGACTCCATTCACCCTCCGCAGGTTTTGAATTCAGAGTTTTCCTTCTCCTAGACCAGTTGCCATCCAAGGCTATAGAATCGATTTTTATTTGTTTTATTTTGAGACCGTGATCGTTAGAAATGGTCGTCAAATATTCTTCTTCACATAAGATCAATATTAGAAGGAACATTTTAAAAAAAAATGAATTAAGGAAAGAATGTTGAATGAAATCATATAAAAAATGGTGGATATTCATTTATTCAGATAAAAGAAAACTTTAAAATGTTAAATTAAAAAAATAAAAATACTTAAAGACTGAATATTAAAACAAAGTATTTAAAATAACGTAATCGAAGAATATTGAAAATAATTATTTGAAAAAATAGTTTAATACGTATCCATTTATTCAAATACTAACGCTGTATCATTACTAGTTCCACACCCAAGAATATATGTATGTCATGACAATATTTTTCGGCACATTTAAGAGGATAGTCATTGCGGTTGAGGAATAACTCTTTTTGCCTTGGGCAAGACGATAAACTACATCCGCGTCCTTGGTAAGTCGATAAACAACATCCGACAGCAAGGGCTTTAATCAGAAGTTTTTGCGGAGCTTGAAACCATCTCGTTATTGCTAGTGTTCCTAGGTCCACTCTTACACGGGGTAGTAGCACCTGTCAGGGTTCCAGCTATGGGCAAATAGTTATGCCCCTCCCCAAAAGGGATCAAAACATTATGAAAGTATAAAAACAGGTTTTGATACCAGCAATATTTTTTGGTAAAATTATTACCAGCAGTACATTTTTACTAAAGAAAAGTATTATCTGCAAAACAACTTTGGAATCGATATTACCAGCAATACATTTTGTTTAACAGCATATCAAATACTTATGAGTCATTTAATACCGATGTTCAATTTTAAAGGGATCTTTGAAGTAATACAAACGATATATGCTATTCTGCTTTCAAAATTTGAAATCGTGGTAGATGACACTCAACTTTTGTGCATATGCATGTCTCTGTGAGTATAATTACCTGAGGCACAAAAACACACGCACGTATATATATATATATATATATATATATATATATATATATACATACACGCACACACACAGACACACAGACACATATATATTCAGTTATATCGATATAAGTTTGTTTCACGTTTTTCCACAAAAACGAAACATGAACAAAAACAAAATAACAGCTTGTTTGATGTTATAATAGGAAGCTATGACGGAGCTTAAACCAGCAAACTGGTACGTATCATTTTCTTTTCATACTTAGACAGAATACTAAAGATAAAAGGCATGGGCCTATAGAGAGATGACGGACTAATTCTAATGGGAAAACCTAATGTCCCTAAAATAGATAGATTTAGAAAAATGGTATTAAACGTTCTAAAAATGTATTGCTGGCAATAATGAATTGCAGGTAATAATTGCTGGATATAATTATTTACAAAAATGTGTTGCTGGTAATATTTTTCTCTTCAAAAACTTATTGCTAATAATATTTTTCCTCAAAAAACCAGTGCTGGTAATATTTTATTCTTTCAAAAATGTATTGCTGGTAATTTTTTTAATCAAAAATTTGTTGCTGGTGATATTTATCTTCTTCAAAAATGTATTGCTGTTAATAATACTGGTAATAATTTTTTCTCAAAAAATTATTGCTGGTAATAAAATCTATTTTTACACATTCATAGTGTATTGACCTCAGTTTGGGGATTAACTATTTGTCCATAGCTGGGACCCTAACAGGTGCTACTACTCCGGGTCAAGATGAACCTGGAAATACTAGCAATTAAGAAGTCGTGTCACGCTTCTCAAAACCAGAAGAGAGGCCTTGTTTTCGGATGTAGTTTATCGTCTTACCCAGGACGCGAATGTAGTTTATCGTCATACCCAGGACGCAGATGTAGTTTATCGTCTTACCCAGGACGCGGATGTAGTTTATTGTCTTTCCAAGGATGCGTGTGTAGTTTATCGTCTTACCCAGGACACGGATGTAGTTTATCGTCTTACCCAGGACACGGATGTAGTTTATCGTCTTACCCAGGATGGGGATGTAGTTTATCGTCTTACCCAGCACGGGATGTAGTTTATCGTCTTACTCAGGACGCGGATGTAGTTCATCGTTTTACCCAGGACGCAGATGTTATTTATCGTCTTACACAGGACGCGAATGTAGTTTATCGTGAAACTGTGCGAAAGTGTTTCACGAACACGCCAATCGGGTATATATATATATATATATATATATATATATATATATATATATATATATATATATATATATTGCTGTGGGGCTCTCCCCTTTTTACATAAGATGGACTCGTCCAAAGTATACTTATACTGACAGAGAGAATACCTGCTGTTGAGATACGTGGAGATACGCTGAGATACGTGGAGAGACGTTGAGACAGGTTGAGAGATACGGAGACAGACACAGGGTGTTCTCAGAATTTATCCACAAGAGAGAGAGAGAGAGAGAGAGAGAGAGAGAGAGAGAGAGATTATTACTTCTTTTACTTACAGAGACTTGTACATATACATTCTACTAACCCGCATTAGTGGACTACCAATCTTCACTTCAAGTCTGTATTCTTACGTTTAATACACTTATTTTTCTATCTTAATTACTGGCGTTGTTTATTTATTTGTGCAGGATTCCATTAACGGAATCCCACACACACACACACACACACACACACACACACACACACACACACACACACACACATATATATATATATGTTGAGAGTAGTTTTTATGCTAATGGTCACTTTAATTATACAAAAGAACCTATTAAAATGGTGTTTTGCAACATTTTCTTCCATTTTTCTCTTCAGGAAGTACACAGGCGGACATGGTGTTTTTTCGCTAGTTCCGTCTCTGCAGGCAAGTAATGCCGGAAATGACACGGCATTATATAATCCAAGTATATAGAAACCTCAGGAATTCTTGAGTTCCAGTACGTCTTTTAGACACCAATCATGAATGAATGAATGATCACTTCTGGTTGGAAAAGGTGTCAAGCATCACGTGATCGTATCCGCTGATTTCCAACGAAACATGATTTACTGATCCTTTTAATAGTTCAATATGGGCCTAAATCATCCAGGACAGAAGGGTGTGGACCAACACTATCTCTATCTATATCATTTGATCTTGAACTTTCTTTTTCCAGCACTATTTTTAGATATTTTCCTAGGCTGATACCATGGTGTAAAAATTACACTGGTAAATTGAGCATAATTTTACAGAGTAAAATGTTTGTCTTTTTTGCATTAAAACATCTACCAATTACTTTTTATCTCAAACTCTATAATCTTCCGTCTTTTCTTTTCCCTTTCCTTCCTGCCATCCTTCCTTTCTTGCTTCTGTCTTTCATGCCTTCTTTTCCTTTATATCCCTCTATTGAGGACCGTCCTCTCCTTTCTTTCTTATTTCTTTTATCCTAACCTCATCAATCCTTCTTCTTTCCTTGATAGATGGATGACCGCTTGAGAATACCGGGTGGTGTGCGGGTGGTGTAATTGATAAATGCTTGAAATTGGAAATCGGAGAGTCGAGTTCCAATTCTGGTCGGGTTCGTTATATTCACTTACGTGCAAATACTCGCGTGGAAGATATGAGTACACCTCTTTCCCTCCCAGCTACATGTTTAATAGAAGGTCTTGTGTCAATATATCATTATTATCTCCAAATAATTCACACAATCTAAAAAATATTTTGTTACTTTAGATAAAAAAACAAATCAATCAAACATCCTTTCTTTCCTTTCAGTTTCATTTCTAATGATGAAAGTATTTTAATTTGTAGTTCTTTTATTCTGTTCTGTTTACCTTCCTTCCTTCCTTCCTACCTTCGTTCCTCCCTCCCTTCCTACATTCGTTCCTCCCTTCCTTCCTTCTTTCCTCCCTTTCTTGCTTCCTTCCTCCCTTCCTTCCTTCCTTCCTTCTTTCTTTCTTTCTTTCTTTCTTTCTTTTTTCTTTCATCCTTCCTTCCTTCCTACCTTCGTTCCTCCTTTCCCTTCCCTTTCTTTCTTTCCTTTCTTTTCTTTCTTTCTTTCTTTCTTTCTTTCTTTCTTTTCTTCCTTCTTTCTTTCTTTCTTTCTTTCTTTCTTTCTTTCTTTCTTTCTTTCTTTCTTCTGCCTTTCTTGTCTTCCTCCCTTTCATCTAAACCTCTCTTTCCAAATCAGTCAGACAGTCAGTTATGTGCCATGCGCGATACACGTTTAGGCGATCATCTATCTTACGATACATGACTGATGATGTCGATTTTTTGGCGCAGTAGGTTGCCATTTATTTCTGCCGTAGACCAGTTGCTATGCAAGGCTATAGAACCCAGTCTGTCCTGGTATTTACTCATAGCTTGGAGTGGCGGGGGGGTAGGAGAAGAGGATTCATACCTTTCCTCACCGTAGGTAAATGTAATGGATTCGACTGGAATTCGAACTCGGCTCTCCGATTCCATAATCCGAGCTGCAATCCATCGTGGCCTTCTATTCTCTCTTTCCCACTTTGACTTTTTTATAAATTTACCTTCGATCCTTCCTTCTTTTCATCTTTGTCTCGAATGATGTAAGTCCTCTCTTTTTCTGTTGCACTTCTTTTATTTCTTCTTCTTCCCTTTCCCTCCTTCCTTGCTTTCTTCCCACCTCCTTCCTTCCTTCCTTCCTTCCTTCCTTCCTTCCTTCCTTCCTTCACACCTTCCTTTTTTCCTTCCTTCCTTCCTTCACACCTTCCTTCCTTCCTTTCCTTCCTTCCCTTCCTTCCTTCCCACCTTCCTTCCTTTCACACCTTCCTTCCTTCCCACCTTCCTTCCTTCCCTTCCTTCCTTCTTACTTTGTTCCTTCCTTCCTTCCTTCCTTCCTTCCTTCACACCTTCCTTCACACCTTCCTTCCTTCACACCTTCCTTCCTTCCTTCCTTCACACCTTCCTTCCTTCCTTCCTTCACACCTTCCTTCCTTCCTTCCTTCCTTCCTTCCTTCCTTCACACCTTCCTTCCTTCCTTCCTTCCTTCACACCTTCCTTCCTTCCTTCCTTCACACCTTCCTTCCTTCCTTCCTTCCTTCCTTTCACCTTCCTTCCTTCACACCTTCCTTCCTTCCTTCCTTCCTTCCTTCCTTCCTTCCTTCCTTCCTTCCTTCACACCTTACTTTTGTTTCCTTCCTTCCTTCCTTCCTTCCTTCACACCTTCCTTCCTTCCTTCCTTCACACCTTCCTTCCTTCCTTCCTTCCTTCACACCTTCCTTCCTGCCTTCCTTCACACCTTCCTTCCTTCCCACCTTCCTTCCTTCCCTTCCTTCCTTCCTTCACACCTTCCTTCCTTTCCTTCCTTCCTTCCTTTGTTCCTTCCTTCCTTCCTTCACACCTTCCTTCATTCCTTCCTTCCTTCCTTCCTTCCTTCACACCTTCCTTCCTTCCTTCCTTCACACCTTCCTTCCTTCCTTCACACCTTCCTTCCTTCCCACCTTCCTTCCTTCCTTCACACCTTCCTTCCTTCCTTCCTTCCTTCCTTCCTTCACACCTTACTTTGTTCCTTCCTTCCTTCACACCTTCCTTCCTTCCTTCCTTCACACCTTACTTTGTTCCTTCCTTCCTTCCTTCACACCTTCCTTCCTTCCCACCTTCCTTCCTTCCTTCCTTCCTTCCTTCCTTCCCACCTTCCTTCCTTCCTTCCTTCCTTCCTTCCTTCCTTCCTTCTGTCTTTCCTGTCTTCTTCCATTTAATTCATATCTGTCTTTTCCACTTTTCCTTTTTACTATTTTATCTTATTCTCTATAATAGCCCTTTGTTTCCTTTCATTTTTATCTCGAATGATCCCCTCTTTTTCTTTCATAATTCTTTTATTTTTTCCCTTCCCTTCCTTCCTTCCTTCCTTCCTTCCTTCCTTCCTTCCTTCCTTCCTTCCTTCTATCCATTTATATCTCTCTAGTGTGAACAAAATCCTCTTTTGCTATTTCGGTCATTTTTTTCGGAGTCACTATATAATCTTCCTTTCTTCCATCTTTTGAATTTCTTTCGTCTCTATTTCTCTCGTGAGCAAACTTTCCTTTCTCGTCTATTTCCTTTCTTCGTCCCCACTTCTGCAATATTCCTTCCTTCCTTTTCACATAAATATCTTTTTTGAGTAAAGAAATCTTTCTACTTTTCTTGCTTCTTTTTCCTGTCCTTCACAATGGTTCCGTTTTCTCCCCCCCCCTCTCGTCGCCACCCTCTCGTCACCACCCGTCATTATCTCACAGTGCATCTGTACATGCAGCCATACATGTCTGCATATGTAAGTACATTTCGGTCTTTCTTTTTCATGAATGTCTTTTCCCAAAACCTCAGCCGTCAACCCAAACCCAAATCCCGACCCAAGGACAGCATCTCCTCCCTCATTTCCTCAACCTGACCCTATCTTTCTTATCCAGTCACCTATTCATCCATCCAATGTGAGGCGGAATCTGTCTCCTGCTCGCTCCTTTCGTTGGGCACGGGATGATTAACAGAATCTGTTAGTCAAACGGACATTAACTTGAGAGACTTTTTGAATTCCCGTATCGCCTGCCGGACCATTATATCTACTGGCGTACGGGTCTTGAAATTGTCTGACTTTACAAATGATGTTCTTCTTTGACAGTGACAAACGATTGGGGCAGCCAGCTCGTCACTTGACAGCACTAAAATGGCTGCGTTCAATACATCTAAAGGTTTACATTAGTTTTTTCTTCTCTCTCTCTCTCGCTCTTTTTCCTCTTTCTCTCTTGCTTCTTTGGTCTCCCTTCTTTTGTAAACTCACCTTCTCTTTTCCCCAGTAGATTTATATTTTATTACACATTTCCTTCAGTTTTCATGGACTACTTAAATATCTCCTACTTAAACCAATCTCAATTTTTCTTTTTGTACACATTTTATTTCCTTTTATTATACTACTGGTTTATGTAATAATATTTATTGCTTCTTATCAAAGTGCTTTAAACCGGCCTATTCTCCGGCCTTTATATCAAGTAGCAGAGATATGGAAAAAAATAGACGAAAATCCAATCTGAATTCTTCGTTTCATTATATAGCGTCTGGTCATCTCCCGTGAGGTATAGCAGAGCTCGGCAACCTATAGCACGCGTGCCACACGTGGCACGCCATTCAATTACCAAAGGCACGCATCCGCGAATGACATCACGAAATTCTAACAAATAACTACTACAACGCAAAGAAGATATTTAGCTGTTTCAATTTTAATATATACTAAAGTATATATACTATATCTTACTATATAATATTTATTATAGAACAGGTATATTAACCTTGACTTGTATAAAAATAAATATGCACTTGGTACACTGAATGATTTTAAAACCCTAAGTCGACAAATAGCAAAAAGTTTGCCAGTCTATGGTGTATAGCGCAAATTCGACATTGATACGTAGCATCTTAATTTTAAATTCAGAATGCCCACAGTTTAATTTAACATCCGAATACCAGATTGGTTGTGAAAAATCAATGGAAAGTTATGCAATATCATAATGGTAACGCTGATTGTAATATTAGCTGTAACCTTATAAAGAAACATTTGTCATTTATTGACCGAGTAGTCAGTACTAAAGTCGGTTGAAAGGTTTTAAAACTTTCTGTTGAAACTAGGTACCTCTAAAAAAAATTCGCCAAATAAAGATGATACAGTATGAAAAAAAATTCTATCGTCCAAAACAACACTTAAACTATGGATCGCTACTGCAAATGAGGGCGCGATGCGAAAGCCTGGGTGACGAAAATTAAATTCCGACACTTAAATTTCAGTTTCTATATTATTTCACAAAGACACAACATTTAAGGTGATGCTCTACGCGAGCACCGCGGTAATAAAACGCGCGTTCGGCACCATTGACAACGAATGTATTTTCAGTGTAGTTGGTTAATACTTGCGGTCACGAAAAATCTCGTCATGACAAATGGGGTCATAAATGAAAAAGTTTAAGAAGCACTTGTCCAGAACATTGCATTATTAATAATATTAATATGTATTATAAATATTAAAACTTTAATGCAAAAATTATTATTTTTTTAATCCTTTTTATGACCTTTGCAATTTTAGTTTAAAATTTTGTCTTTTCGAGCGTCTTTGTGCGGTGAAAAACATATTGATTCATGCAAAAAATCGATTAAAGGTCTCATTTTAATGAAACTCTCAGGATCTGTTCATAAATGAATGCAATTATTTCTGAAATGTTTCTTATTTAAGAAAATATTTGTAAAAATATTTTTCTTTACATCGTTACCCCACCTCTTATTTCTTGGTAAAGTTTCGAAAAATTCTTTTTTGTATCGCTCAATGATTAAATTAGTTATAAGAACAAGTCCTCGGAGAATATAAATTAACAAATATTTTTTGCCAAACGGAAAAATATGCTCTGAATGGTAAAATAAAAATAATAAAAAACAGAATAAAATTATTCAGTCAGAAAAGCTTTTAATTGATTTTATAAATAAAATATATTATGAACGCAGCTGTCTTAAGAAAAAATGTTTTTCGATGAATAATGAATTTTTACAAGATATTGCTTTCATTTTTCAAAATTTTAATTAGAATAATTTATAATCTTAAAATTTTATAAATCATTTTAATTAAAATGTTAAAAGTTTTATAAATTATTCTAAATAATAATGTTAAAACTTAAAACAAATCTTGGAAAAATACATTATTCATCGCAAAACATTTAATTCTTGTAAAATTCTACATTAATTTTAAACTGTATTTACTAATCATAAATAGAAAATATCATTAGAATTCATCGACCACTGTATATTTTTAAAAAAATTTGATTTTCTTCATGTGTGTATAGACGTGTCGATGTTTTAAATACAGACGTACAAAGAAAACATTATCAGAAAATAAGAAAGATACTGTTAGTAAATTTAAAATTTATTGTTAATTTTCTATCATTTATTGGTAATTTATTTGTAATTTTCTAACAAGTGTCTTAGTGAGTAACAGTATAAAGCCAAAGTACACAAAATGCAGTAAAATATTACATTGCTTATAATGTTTTCTTAAAATATTACGATTACTTGGTAACTATTAAAAACTTATATAAAAACAGGCGCTCACTCTGTATTCGTCATGTAATTTTTCTAGTTATTTTCATACATAGTTAAATTTCCCATACACCAGGCAGTCAATAAATCACTCTACGATAAACATCGATTCTTTCTTTAAAAAAAGATGTTTCTCTGCAGTAATTTATATTATGACATATTACTATTTGTTTCAATTCAGATTAATTATTTCACAGATAATGTTTTTAGAAAAGTATAGTTTATTTTTTTAAATATTTTTAATAAAGAGAGTTATTTTGTGTTGACAGATCTGTCAGTATGGATGAATTTATAGATTTTACTGATAAGTCGAAAAAACATTCCAATCTGTTTAAATTCGCTTTGAAATGCACCAAAGTATTTTGTTTGTTGAGAATATTAAAATTAATTTATTAGCTTAGAATTAAAACTAAAATTAAAGCTTCAAGAAAGATATTTCATATTTTAACCTTCAATTAAACTTTAGATATCGCTTTTTTTTTCGGAGGTACTGAATTAAAACAGTTTATCAGGGAAATAGATAAAGTCCTGTAACTGTTATCGCTCTTTCCAGTATTGATGGGAGTTTTCTTCCTAAACTTTTGTTTGAAGTAGTGTGGGATGTCAACATCTTTATTAAGTTATTATTTTCTCTTCGAGTTGAGTGATGTTCATTTTAGTTGTTACTAATGTTGAAAGTCCTCAAGTGATGTCCGTCCTGGGTATGACGATAAACTACATCCGCGTCTTGGGTAAGACGATAAACTGTCCAGCAGCAAGGCCTCTGATCAGGAGGTTTTGAGGAGCGTCGTACCACTTCTTGACTGCTGGTGTTCACAGGTCAACCCTGACCCGGGGTGGTAGCACCTGTTAGGGTCTCAGCTATTGGCAAATAGTTAACTATTACCAACAATAATTTTTTGAAAAAAATTATTACCAGCAATACTTTTTTGAAAAAAAATTATTACCAGCAATACATTTTTCAAGGAAAAATATTAGCAGAAACAGATTTTTGACAAATATTACCACCGATAAAAAAAATTGTCGGCATTGAATTACCCATTGAGGTTAATATGCCGTAAAACAAAACAAAACCAAACCTCAAGTGATATGGTTTTTGCTATTTGTTTCTTTGTTTCTGATTGTGTAGCGCCAGTTCACAAGTTTCGAATAATGAGTAACAAATTAGCATTTTACGTATCACTTTCGTCGTCTTTGATTTTTTCACTTTTACTAAGACTTATCGGCAATGAAAGGTAATTGGGTGAGCCAAGTTTAAATCGGGGCCCAGCTTGCTGTCTTCAAGTTCCTACTTATGTGAACCTATATCTTCTTCCTCTAACCAGCTACGTTTTAAATAGTAGGGTAGACTGGACTCTCTAGCCTTGGGCGGCAGCTAGTCTAAGATTAGGACTACTCTTAATTCAAAACCAAGAGAAGGCTACCTGAAACCACTCCAAGATTTTCCAAGAAGTCATGGCGATGCAGGGATAATGAAGAAACTAAAATTTGTGGAGAGACATGAAGGTCTACATTCTGAATGACCATGTCATACTGTTTTAGCGCTACAACTATGGAAAGTGCTCGGACGCTCTGCATCTCCATCTTCCAGAAGGTTTGAACTTCACGGCTAGGACCAGGCCTGCCACGAACACAGTAGCAAAGCATCCACATTCCCTTCGGCGCGAAGTAAGTTTCACCTAGACTTCTTCCCGTGAGCCACTACCCTATGGAACAGATCCCAGGTGGTTGTTTCTTCGACCACTGCAATTTTAACTTGTTCAAGTCTAGAGTCAATAATCTATCCCTCCTATCCATATAAACTACCCCTTAACGTAAACCTCTACCTCGAGTGGTCCTCGGGCCTTGTACAGGGTTAGGTTTACTGTAAAAAAATATTTTGCGTATAAATACGATGTGATCATTCAGCGATTAGTGAGAAAAACTAAATTTATTTATAGTTAAGTAATCTTTTAGTTCATAATGTCTCCTGCCTAGCTATTCTAGGGCTAATATGTATTGGGTCTATTTCAAACAAAATTGGTTTTATTTACATTCTTTGGGCTGTTATCCTCATCTTTATTGCCATATTCACAACATTTCAGCCGTTGCACGCTCCGGCCTTCTTCGGATATATGGAATTTCGAACTGAACCTTTTATTTTATCCACCGGGGTAGATTGTTCTAGCTCCACATGTCATGTCTCTTCTGGATGTCTCAGTTATCTCAACACTCCAAGTTTTGGTTCACCACTGCAGTAGCCAGGTATTAGACTCACAACTCTTTGGCTCAAGTCACTGGATCCCACCAACGTTTTTATCCACTGAGTCATGTGTCATTGGGTTTTATTAATAAGTTCGCCAATACAAGTCTATACTTATTAGACATTTCTATATCTTAATTCATTCCTAATTTTGCGTTTACTGGTGAGAAAACTTCGTCGTGAGCCCTGTTACCCAATAGGGTCGTAACTGTCACCCTCATCACAGCACTCTCAGGCAACATAGACTAACGGGGCGTATATCTCTTCATAGAGATGGGCTATCATTCTCTTAGATATATTGCCGTCTTAAGGCAAGAGACCCTAGTGAGCCCTGCTATTTATCCCATACCCGAGGAAAGAAAAACGGGTGGATTCGTATCTTTCCCAAGTAAAGGAAGAAACTCAGCTAGAATTCGAACTCGGATCGTCAATTTCTGTTTACAACTGGCTATCCATTGAAATCCTTTTGAAAACAATGACCACAGTTAACTAGTTTCTCGTGGAAACTTGCCATCGTTTCATTTCCAATTCTTCTTCTTCTTCTTCTTCTTTTTCTTCTTCTTATTCTTCTTCTTCTATCATCACCATCAAATTGTATCCATTTTCCTCGTCAACCGTATCTTCTTCTTCTTCTTCTTCTTCTTCTTCTTTTCTTCTTCTTCTTCTTCTTCTTCTTCGTGTCGTGTCCCTTCAGGACGTTAGCGATCATGGTTTTCCAAAGATTCTTGGCCTTTGTTACTCTTAGTAAATTTTATCTTTTTCTTATCTCTCCAAAGCACTGTTCTGCCATCCATTTACACAAACTCTTCTTCCTCCTCCTCCTTCTTCTATGTTCCTTGTCCCTTCAGAATTTCACCAATCATGACTCTCCACAACTTCCTCTCCCTTGTAACTTTCAATAAAAGTTGTCTTTTTCGCAGTCCCCATCTGCGTTCCCCCTTCATTCACTCAAGCTGACATGGTAGGTTGCTCTCTGTCTCCCCGTGTTTCCTGTGCCTTCGATATGGCCCGTGAGGGTCAATTCTATACCCCCGCCTTTTTCATTTTTTTTTTTTACAGGAAGGCTCACTTTTTTTGTGTTAAGAGGCCATTTATGCGTATAGGAGTGGAAACGGTTAATTCTAGCCTTGAACAGGTTAAGATTGTAGTGATCCTTTTGGGAGTTCGTTCCACAGGGCAGTGGTTCGCAGGAAGAAGCTGTTCGGGTGGAACCTACTTCTCACCGATGATATACGGGGGTAATGTGTGTGGTTTGCTACTATGTAAGTAGCATGGTATGTTCCTGAAGGTTTGACTCGTTAGGACCAGGTAATGTAGCTCGTCTGAGCACTATCCATGGAAGTAGTGATAGAGCAGCGCGAGGGTCGCCATATCCCGCCTGTGGGAGAGAGGTTGAAGGGTGGAGAATAATTCGTCACTCGGAGACGCATTTGGATTATATCAAGGCTGGAAATTGAGGCTTAGCCAGCTTCCTTCTACTTCGTTGCTTATCTGCTCTGTTCATGGTTTTCTCAGTATCCTTCTGTAGAACTACATTGCTGTTGTCTCAAGTTTACACTTGATCCGTGAGGAGATCCTTCAGCATTAACAGCATATACGAGGGCCGACATTAAATAGTAGTTTAGTACTCATTTTTTACTTTTTAACGAAATTTTCCTGTTTCTTTATACTTTGCTTAACTTTTCGAAGTCATCTTTTGCTATCCCAATATGCCATCGTCGTGGTATTTTCCATCCTCTGTTAAAACACTTCCCAGATATTTAAACGTCTGTACGGGTTTGATTTTGAAATCGCCAATTCGTAATTCTCACCATGGTCTTTTACTCTGCGTACAACCATACATTCTGTTTTGTTACAATAGATGTTTTTTCGGGGATTTATTTATCATTTTCCCCAAGTAAGGTAATAAAGCCACTAAGATACAAGGGGTAACCGAGTGTGAAAGAATAAGAAAAAAAGAAACATTATTAATGAGCGATAATAATAGAAGAGTAATCAAAAAGACAAAAGATAACGATTGGTATTGCATTTAATTTTTTGAAGATCAAAGTTGACTGAAAAGCAAGAAGCCGGAAGGGAATTCCACAAGCAAGAAGTGCGAGAGAAGAAACTGTCAGAATAGAAATTACGGTTGCATCTAGCCAATTCAACTGCAAATTGATTAGACTTTTTTGCTAATTAGTCAGTTATGTGCGTGATACACACTTAGGCGATCATGTATCATTCGATACATGACTGACGAGTCAGATTTTCCCCGCAGTAGGTTGCCATTTCTTTCTGCTGTATACCAGTTGCCATCCAAGGCTATAGGACACGGTCTGTCCTACTATTTAACCATAGTTGGGGGAAAAGAAGAAGATTACTGCGCTTAAGTTCATAAAGTCTAGGTGCCATAGCGGAAAGTTAATCAGAACAATTACCATGAAAGTATGTATAGAAAAGGCACTAAGATACATCACGGCGGTGGAAATGTAACTGAATCCGAGATGCCGGGTCAGGACCAAATTACGTTACAGATTCTTCTTTGTATTTCTTCAAGAATTTCTAAATATATACCAGAAGCACCAGAACATATGTGGCAGCAACATTCAAATCGTGGACGAATGGTAGATTTAGAGATATGTAAGATAGATTTTGTAGAGAAAAACTGTCTAGCGTGACAGTCTGAACCAACTTTCTTAGTAGTAGATCTAGCAATGGATTCAATATAATCTTTCCACTTCACGTCAGCCGAGAACATTAGAAGTTAGAATCAGCTATGTTGATGGGAGCCAAAAAGGGGTTTCTCGGATGATTATTAGAGATAAGTTTTGTTTAGGAGGCGTTAAAGTTAACAAGCTATTCCTTGCCCCAGTCAATAGCAGATTGTCGCAGATTCTGGGATCAACTGCCAATTTGACCTTATCGAACTGATCAGACATCGCAGTTTCCTTTTCCTACCTTGCCCCCAGAAATTTGCATCTAGATATTCCCTATTTTCATTCTATTTAAAACTTATTCTTTGCCTACATGTTTCATTTGTAATATTCTCTGCATCCTTCTGTACAATCACATCTCTGGGTTTTCTCTTCATCAGCGAGAAGATTGTCCAGCATTCACTGCCATATCTGAGGGCTGATATTATATAGTAGACTTATTTATTTGGCTAGGCTAACTCGGACATTCATGTGTCTATCACGCCAACTATCACTGTCCTGCATCAAGATAAGAAAGTCGTGAGGGCGCTATTATGTGACATAAAATAGCTGGTCAATGTAGGTAGTTGCTGGGCGACCAAACCGTCTTGCTTCATGGCTATTTGTCGAGAGCAGTAGAGCAGTAGTTCTTGTTTTGCTCGCCAGCAGTGTCCCGCAAAGCACATTCCGCTTTCACGTAAGATTGTAGAAATATCAGGGATGGATCTATAGAGCTTTGATTTAGTTGTGTGTTGTCTCCATGAAATGATAGTATAGGTCTTAGCATCCGAGTGTAGGTTACATCAAGCTTAATATCTAGGGCTTTACTCCAGGCGGTAGCCTCATGCATTAAAACCGCCTTTACAGTGGCGCGAAGGAAGCTCCGTTTGAGGTTGTCTGGTAGATTAGATTTCTAGATTACAAACTGTTTATTCAAGGCGGCCATCAATCGTGTCAAAACTCAATGAGAATAACAAGAGCAACAACAAAAACATCAGCGTAAAAAAGAAAGAGTATCTTAATAATAAAAGAAGACTGACAAGAAGGTCAAACTGCTGTGTTGACGAACGATGAATTGAAGGACCGACGACAGCCATTCGATAAAAATATGCAAATAATCTCTTCTTTAGCGGATTCCTATCCAGTAAATCACAATTTCTTTCGTTCAAAATCGTTTGTTTATTGCGTTTTCAAATCGTACGTATGAAAAAGAAGATTGTAGCAATTTAAATTTATTGAATTGGAACCACAATTTGAGTCACGTTTTCTTGGTCGGCAAAGGCGCAGGTGGGCCTCTTTCTCGATTGGATTCAGTCAGCGTGAGATGTTTATGAGGGGCTTACAGGTTATAAAAAAGTTCGTTTCATCTTCAATAAGATTGTTATCTCCTTATGAGATCGTTTGAACTGCATAACGTCAGGTGGAATACCATCGCCTAGTAGAGCGTCTAAAACGAACAAAAATTAGATTTTGAAAAGTATCTTGGATTTTACAAGCACGAAATAGACTGCACAAGGTAAATATGTTTTCCGATTCGAAGCTAATAACTGCTGTGCTTTCAAGTGAATTCTATTTTTGAATCATTTCACCTAAGCAAAGGTAAAAAAATGCTACTAAGGCGCAAATGAATATATATATATATATATATATATATATATATATATATATATATATATATATATATATATATATATATATATATATATATATAAAAGGTGTTCATAAAGTTCGTATAAATTTCGTATAAATTTTTTAAAGTGCACACGAAATTTATGGACACCAGTTATATATATATATATATATATATATATATATATATATTATAAATTAATTGATTTAAGACATGGTTTTTTATTACAAAAAAAACAACATATTTTAAATCAATTAATTTATAATATTAATGCTCTGTAAATTTACATTGAGCACTATTTTGTAAAAATAAAATATCTGTAAGAACACAGGATTATATATCTTACTGTTCTTTATATATATATATATATATATATATATATATATATATATATATATATATATATAGGTAGTAATTCATTGCTATAAGTCCGTGTGACCATTAACATGTAGGTCAGCTCATCGGGTTCCCTTCTCTCTCCCCATCCACTCCTATTTCCATAATATAATACCCCACATTACTTCCTGTAACTATGCCATCTTCTGTCATTTCTTCCTCTTTGGACTCTCTGACGTTCTCTCCCTCTTTCTTTTCCCAGCTAACCAGTATCCTTCTACAAACTATGCTCCAATGTACCATGAATTACGAACACAGTCGCGGAAGAAAAATTGCACACGAACTTTATGGACACCCTGTATATATATATATGTGTGTGTGTATTGTAATGATTTTATATCTGAAATTATTTCTTATAACGATAAACATTATATTTAGTGAGAAACGGTTATAAGAATATAACAAATAAAGAATAATTTACTTTTCCAAAAGGAAATAAATAAAAATACTAACACACACACATACACACACAAACACACATATATATATATATATTCATGAATTATTCACACAAAAACAAATGCAAAGTTTAATGATTTAATTGGCGAGAAATCCATCGTCTCAAACAATTCAAATAATATACAAAAACCTCCGAATCCGTTATGAATGAAAAGATCCTTGTTTCTATAAATTTCTGCCGCATTAGTTCTTATTTTTACTACAAGCTTTCGTCTGTTCCTACAGACATCTTCAGGTATGAAATAGATGTTGTTCTTGTTTTTTCTCTTAGTAATAATTCTCCAAAAACAATAACTCATTTCCAATAACATTTTCGGATACAACAATACATATATTTTCGTTTTCAAGAACAACATTATTCCATACCTGAAGATGTCTGTAGGAACAGACGAAAGCTTGTAGTAAAAAATAAGAACTAATGCGGCAGAAATTTATGGAAACAAGGATCTTTTCATTCATAACGGATTCGGGTTTTTTGTATATTATTTGAATTGTTTGCGACGATGGATTTCTCGCCAATTAAATCATTAACCTTTGCATTT